CCCAGACCGTGGCCAGCCCTGCAACTCCTGCAGGGAGCAGTGCCCTGGCTTTCTGCTGCATGGCTGGAGGTAGGTGACCATCCCAGGGCCTTGCCTTTGTCAGGGCTCCACCCTCAGGAGGGAAACCCTCAGAGACTTAAGCCACGCCCTTGGCTTGACCGTGGTCCACAGAGGAAGCTCAATCAGGGAAAAAGCCTCACGCTCTGATTCAGAGCCCCGCCCCCTGACTCATTCCCTATTGTCTGGTTCCCAGGAGAGCTCCACCCACGACACAGCCCCGCCCCAGAAGTGTCCTTCCTCAAGCCTGAGTCCTATCCCTAGGGAGATCTTTGGTCCTCCACCCCCCTTCTTGAGTTTGGAACTCCTCTCCCAGATCCCTGTGCCCTAACTCCTGGAGCTCGATACCCCAAACAATCCATAATGTACTACAGACAGAGCCCTATCCGAAAGTTCTGAGGCTCAATACAGGCTAGAGCCCACCTCCAGGGAAAGTTCCCCAAAAATGTCCAGAGCCTCTCCTGAGGGGCAGCCCCTAGATGTATAACTCCAATCTCAGACTCAGAACCCCAGCCCTACTCAGGCCCAAGTCCCAGAGCTGAAAGTCAGAGCTGGCCTTGAGACCCCACAGCTCCATCTCTTCACCTCCTCCACCCAGGCTCACAGCCCCACCCCCAGGCCCAGAATCCTTTGGTGGTGATCATCCGCATGTCCCTGCCCCTCAGTTGGACTTTCTTGGGCTGTCAAAGGGTCCAAGTTGGCTACCCTTAGTAATTGACCCCCATCCTGGCCCCCTCAGAAAGATCTGCCAGCACTGCAAATGCCCTCGGGAGGAGCATGCTGTGCACGCAGTGCCTGTGGACCTGGAACGCATCATGTGTCGGCTCATCTCAGACTTCCAGCGCCACTCCATCTCGGATGATGACTCGGGCTGTGCCTCAGAGGAGTATGCCTGGGTGCCCCCTGGTCTCAAGCCAGAGCAGGTGACCAAAAGGCACCATCCACTGTTGCTCTCCAGTGGGTGCACACACACTCAAGTAGAAACCTATTTCTGGGGCAACACTAGGGTGTGTGGTTAGACTGTGCCTGTCTTTCTGATCCCTCTGAGATCTAGAGGTGATCAGCCCCCCAAAACTTGAAGGAAACCCTGAGAGATCACTGGGCCAGCTCCTCGGGCCTGTTCATCCATTCCTGTTCTACCCCTTACCTCAGGGCTTATCGTAGCACTTCATTCACATCTCCATTGATTAACCCGTTCAACAGTTATTGAACACCTACTGCATGTCAGACACTGTTCTAGGTGCTGTGAGGACACAGCAGTGAACAAAATACAATATATATATACTAGAGGCCTGGTGCATGAAATTCGTGCAGGGGGGGGATGGGGTCAGTCCCTCAGCCCGGCCTGCACCCTCTCGCAATCTGGGACCGCTGGCTCCTAACTGCTCGCCTGTCTGCCTGCCTGATTGGCCCTAACCGCCTCTGCCTGCTGGCCTGATGCCTCTAACTGCTCTCCCCTGCCGGCCTGATCATCCCTAACCACTGCCACCCTGCTGTGTGTGTGGGTCCTGGGTGCAGGTATCCAGCTCCCTCCTGTCAGAGTCTAGGGCACACCGGAGGACCCAGAGTCAAGTCCCCACCCACGCATGCGTGCCTCTAAATCGAGAGAGACCCAGACCTAGCCGGCCCCACCCCCATCAAGCCCCACCAGCACATCACATCCCTAGCCAGTGCTGGGTGGGGATGCAGCGTCAGTCACATCCCCAGCTGGCGCCAGGCGGGGATGCAGCCTCCTGCTGATCGGTTGTTACGGTGTGAGGGCATGAT